CTGGACAAACAGGTTTACAACACATTACATCACATCCGCTCAGTACCTTACTCGCATTTACGCGTGCTATTTCCGCGCGCGCGCTAAAAGTTTTGCCGCAATGCGTGACGTACAAAATTACACGGAAGGCTGATTTCCGTTACATACGAACGCGTATAGCTAAATACCACAAATATATTAAAAGTAATAATGACAAATAATGACACTACTACAATATTGTTCGATTTTGATGAAAATTGGTATCTTTGGGTATAAGGAGGATGCGAATTCAACCGCATGGGTTTCATTGCCATATCAATTACATGGAGGCTTCTGATTGGTCGAAATTTAGATATTGTTTGATTTCGATGAAAATTGGCTTATAGGGGTATTGGGTGATTGCAAATTCAATCGCATACGTTTCGTTGCCATAGCAAATACACAGAGGATTATGATTGGTCCAATTTAGAAATTGCTCAATTTCACTCAAATTTAGTATGTACATTGTAGGTGTACTATGGCAATGCGATCCTTTTCTGATGCATCTTTGCGACTATGGGGGCAGTTTGGTGGACATCTGTAATGCTCCCCCATTACATTTAGTACTTTTTGCTGTAGATATTGTTAAAATGTTTCAACCGAATTCCTTATGCATATCCAACTCATGCTAAGTTTGCCAACCGATATGATTTGTGCATATATACGGATTTTCAATGATGTACAGGGCTTTTTTTTTCTTCAAGTTTCAAGCTATACATTATGTCTCCACCCGCACGATACTCACATGTTTAAACCTAACCTAAATAATGTTTACCTACAATATGTCCCGCAAGCGGGGGATATAAATTCAACGAATTTGCTTGTTTTTTTATTTTCAAGTCCCACAAAAAAATATAATGTATCAGATTAAGGCACGTGTTTTTTCAACAAATGACTATACAGAAATGAACAGAATCTTCAGAAATATTTTATGACCTTGAAGGAGGTCGTACACAAATTCCGCGCAAGGCAATAGTGGGAGCCAAACACAACCTTAACCACTCCGTGTTTTTTGTTAATTTGCAATACCAAACCGTCGACTTACGTCCAAAAATCAATATAAGTATATATTGCGAATGTTCCACAATTAGTTTATTGTTTAAGAGTTATTCAAAACTTAGAACTATTACGAACGTCACATTTTAATATATAATATACATATCCAAATGTTATAAGTAAAATTTCAACATGACATTGCATGAAATGTTAATGAAAAGAACTGACTTCAAAATAAGATACAACCCATTTACTTGCAGAATTTACCAACCAATTTGCTTTGTGTTCAAGGTGATGGTGTTATTAAATCGGGATTCGCAGGTAAAGTCATGTGGGTAATAAATTATTAAAATATTGAAAATATTGAAAATAATATATATCGTTTCCAGTATTTTGTCGTATACAAAATTATATCAGTTTAGTTTTTTTTGCATTTTTTAGTGACATTTTAAAATTAAACTCAACACTGCATTATTGTTTAAAAAAATCAATACAAAACAAAACACACATCTTCTAATATTTTTGCACTAGATGTTACCGCACAAGACTGTATTTAACAATAAACATAAGACAAAAAATTTCTTATTAAATCAATTTCAAAATTATCTGGTCAGCGGCTGTTGTCAAACAAAGCCGTTCTTAGCAAACACAAAATGTGTTACATATTCACCCTAAATATCACGGTATTTCAAATACATATAACTAATTCGACTTCAAATAAAAATCAAAATATTGAAAAAATTACCTTCATGACAAAATCCTTTATCCAAAGAATCTGAAATGCCATATCCACAACACATTTTAGTGAATTCATTTTTACATAAATAGTTTTCTCCTAGACGACATAAACGATAGAATCGTGCATCGAGAGAATCATGTGATCACGATATATGAGCTTCTTTCTATAATTATATGCATAGCCAATCATGTATCAGTGAAATACATACCTTGATAAATTCGAATTGCCATTGCCGTCTATGAGACTGAACATGTTTACTTGTATTTAAGTATTTTCGCAGTTATCTTTTATTTCAAGACATAAATGTTTCGACTCAAAAAGATAAGAAATTTTAGATTTAAAGGTCCCCCCCCCCCCCCCCCCAAGCGATGTATGAATTATCAAAGCAACGGCACATTGACCTGAGTGCGTAATATTAGACGATGTGGTCGCTCGGACGTGATCAAGGAGCCTACTTTTATCATTGTGTATACAATCGGGTAACGAGTAGGGATAATATCGCATGGTCGACTGAAGATTTTCTCACTTGAACTAAGGTCGGTACATTTTGTGTTTATCCCGTTAGAAATGATACAGAAGATATGAATCTTGAAGATATAATTGATAGTATTTTAATGACACTTTCAATGGTTTTATTAAATGCGGAGAAATTAAACATTCTATAGGTAAACTCATAGAGCGTGACATATTCAACCGAAATATCATAATGATTTTAATGTATATCTTAGGCACAGTCTCAACTCCATGACGTCTCTCATTGAAATCAGAGGTTAGTTTGCTGGCATATTTTCTCTAAAAATAACTATGATTGATTATTTAAGGCAATACCGTTAGAGGATAAACATGATACCAATGGGTTTGAGGTAATTTACGTCAAGTAGGACGGGAAAACTTATCGAAAGCCATAATTTATGTAAATTACTTACATATGTCCTAAGTGATATACACAATTACTCGGACGTTTCTATTATTGAATTTTTTCAAGCCTTTGTGAAAAGGCTTTTGATCGAATTTAAAATATTTTTTCCTCTTGTCGAATATGTACTTTTCCTCCTTTAGCTCGTGAAGATGTCATTGACAAAATGTTCAATGCGTTTTGACCATACGAATTTATTGAACATCGGAAATAGTCGCCGCATTTTTTTTGCCCTTATGAATGAGGGCAAATTTATCAAAGCAACTAATCTTAGTGCACAAGATACATAACAAAACTGTTGAAAAATAGATAATTTTTATAATTAACAAGTTCATGTTAAAGGCGAAATTAACTATGTACGAATATGGATTGTTTCAATGAACGATGTCATTTTAACTTGGCTGAAATTTCTTAGTATGTAGTAATCAGAAGGTAATAGAGCAGAAATTGAAACGTTATGTTGCAAAAATTAATTAGAGCTACATTAGAGAGGTTGAATTCAATTCAAAGAAAAGACAAAAAGAAGTGTTAAAAACGAAGGTGATTGGGTATCTCAAATTGAAGCATTATGACTTCACAGGGATTTAGACAACCATGACCTATATAATAAGAGCGGCCGACATATATAACAGCCAACTGGTTCGGAACGAAAATAGGCCTGCTGTACCCCAGTGTTTGTTAAAACAAGAGGCGGCTATCTATAATATGTTCAAAACTTTGTCTTTGGCGTAAGGGAAAATAAAGAAACAAAATTAATATGCTACCCTCATTCACCTTATGGCATCTATATATTTTCCTTTTTGTACTTCCTTTCCCTTTTCTGTCAGCGGTGTCTCACGAGCTGTCCTGATATGAACCTTTAACAATCAGAACACATAAAGTAAGAGCTAAAAATACAATTACAGACCTGATAAAGCAGGTCACAAAATTTATTGAATTTTTGCCAGTGAATTATTGGATTCTATCAACTTGATAAAACTGATATCTTTCACACTGCGACAAATATCAAAAGAGTGAAAAATATCCCTTTTTGGTATTTACCAATCATAACGGTATTTTCTATTCGCTGCATTCAAAGGCAACGATTTTTTGTTCAGATTCAAATGAAACGACGGAAGAATAAGTTGTTGTTAAATGTACAATTAATTATATTTTTATAATCAATCATACAAGAAAATAGCAGAAAACGCCGGAATTGCGTCGATTACCCCTCGTGAAATATATTTGTTATTACTGAAACCACCATTAAACATCCTTTATATATATACAGCAAAAAGAAATGACACATGATCAAATATATTGAGATATAAATTTTACGTAAATATATGTATATATACATTTATCTAATGATGATCTAAAAACGAAGTATATGACTTGGAACTATTGTGGAGAGAGTCTTCGAATTTTTGTCGTTTATAAGTGCTTACACAAAAAATATATTTGAGATTGTGTAAATGATTGCAATATTATATTTTGATAAATATAGCGATATTCTCTAGTGCAATATACATTGTTAATACCTATATAATTGGTAATAAAACACAAAAAGGACAATAACAATAACTTAGTGCTATACCAGTCGTGTATTATCTAGGTAAGACAGCGACTGGTCTTTTTAAAGACGTATTTCATATTTTCAAAGGATGAAATTGGGTTTGCCACAATCTTCATGATTAATCAAATTATTTTCTCACCGAACGGTTGCCGTACACTTACGTAACTTTGAAAGCGTGAAGTATTACTTTGCAGTGTTTTCACCTCTTTGCATGTGTACAATTAATACATTTTTACCTTTGACACCTCGGTTATTTCCGGTATTGTTCTGTTATCTCAGACATTCATGAATATGTCATGTGGACTCTACCCTAAAAAAACACATAAAAACCAGGAAATATAGGAGTTTACATAACTATAAAAGATTAACGATGTTAACAAAACAGCAAAAACCTCGAAGGTGAACTTATTGTGCAAATTCACAAGGTTAAAGAGAAAATATTCAAATCAAAGTGAGTATGCTTCGGTGCTTTAGATCTTTCAGCCAAACGCTGGGTATTAATCGTCTGTCACGTATTGATTTCAAAATCAAATCGGAAATACCGATAATTTTCTCTAACATGAGTTGAATTTTTAAATGCAAGAAATCATGAGATTCATGAAAGCATCTTAGCTTTCATAGCTACTCCAGTGCAATGCAATAAAATAACCCTTTTAATGCCACATATACAAACTAGCATCAAAACACAGCAATAACTGAAGAGTGCCCGAAATGTTTT